CTGTGTCTGTGTCTCTGTGTGTGTGTGTGTGTGTGTGTGTCTGTGTGTATGTGTCTCTGTGTGCCTGTCTGTGTCTGTCTGTGTGTGTGTTTCTGTGTCTCTGTGTCTGTTTCTGTGTCTCTATGTGTGTGTGTGTCTCTGTGTGTCTGTCTGTGTGTGTCTCTGTGTGTGTGTGTGTGTGTGTGTCTCTCTATGTTTGTCTCTGTGTGTGTGTGTCTCTGTGTGTGTCTGTCTGTGTGTGTGTGTGTGTGTGTGTGTGTGTCTGTGTGTATGTGTCTCTGTGTGCCTGTCTGTGTCTGTCTGTGTGTGTGTTTCTGTGTCTCTGTGTCTGTTTCTGTGTCTCTATGTGTGTGTGTGTCTCTGTGTGTCTGTCTGTGTGTGTCTCTGTGTGTGTGTGTGTGTGTGTGTGTGTGTGTCTCTGTGTCTGTGTGTGTCTGTCTGTGTCTGTGTCTGTGTCTCTGTGTGTCTGTCTCTGTGTGTGTTTCTGTGTCTCTGTGCGTCTCTATGTGTCTGTGTGTCTCTGTTCTGCCTGTGGATGTTTATAATTCTTTGGATGATCATATAGTTGAGTTAAATCATTATATTCTGGGCTGAATTATTAGGAAACCCAGGGCCAATTCGGTTTACTTTTAGTTTAGGTTGCATTTCTTGATCATATCCCTGTGTTTTTGTGTTTTACTTATTAAAGTAAAAATAAACTTCCTTTTGAAAAATGGTGAACATTTTAATCTGACTGCAAAATTCTCTCATAATGTAGGGAACCATTTTGTTTATAGTCAGCTGGGTAGTAACTGATTACATGTGATCTGGATTACATAATCAGATTCCAAAAATTAAGTAATTGTTATTAGGGTATATAACATTTTAAAATGTTTAATCAGACTACTTTTTATGGATTGATTACATATTATTCACACAATGGCATTAAATTATTCAGAATGTATTGATTCTACCTGATTCTTCTTTTTTAACTTTAACATTTTCCTTTCTAAATATCCTACTGTGTGCCATACTGTTTAACTTTGACTATATTCACATATTCATATTCACATTCACTCGTGGTGTAAATAAATGTGCAATCCATGGCACATTGAATTAAACGTGAAATTTTAAAATTGAAAAACTGAAATATATGGAAGGCATCTTTTTCATCTCACAATTCTGACTTTTTTCTTGCAATTCTGAGGGAAAAAATAATAATTGCAAGATGTAAACTCAGAAAACGGCAGAATTATGATATAAACTCAGAATAAAAAAAAATCATATAAAAAATCATAGCAAATTAAATCAAATTATTATATCAAATGATATCTCCAAATTGTGAGAGAAAATTACCTTTCTTATTTTTTTATTCTGTGGTGGGAACAAGCTTCCATAAGTAATAGTATTTTCTTGTAAAATGTATTTTTTGTTTTATATAAACCTTCAGTATCCCAGTATAGGGGAAAACCGGGGCTTGTTGTCACACTCTTTACAAGCAAATATTTCTCAGGGTGGCTTTATTTTATTACTAAATTGTCAAATTGGGAACATTTTGCATATTGATATTGAGAAGGAAAAATATATATATATATATATGTTTATTGTTGAAATATCAAATATGCTTCCACAATATCTCCATTCATTCATTCATTCATCCAATTTAAGACGATGAAACAAAAATGTAAAAGGTAAAATGTTAAATTACAAATAAGACTTGACAACTTGCCCCATATTTAATGTGACACCGTACACAGGGCTGTTTTGTAAGGATGTACCACAGGCAGGCGCTCTCTCGCTGTTTTAGAGGCTTTATAAACCTTTCAGAGGAGAGTTATTGCAGATGTTTTAAGGGAAAACGTTTGTGACGCATATGCGGGTCATGATGACGAGTAAATAAAAAGAGTGCCGCGTCTGCGCGCAGCGGACCGGAGGCGCCTGTCGTTACCATGACAGCACAGTTAGTCAACTCCCCCGTTACCGTCGGTCACCGATCAGCGGAATCCAGTGCGCTGCTCGTGCGGACCGAGAGAGAACCAGAGAGGGATCGATCCTGCGGCGCGATGGGAACGTTCCGGAGCGCAGCGGCCGGTCTGGATGAGGAGGAGGAGGAGGAAGAGGAGGAGGAGAGGCGCTGGGAAGTTGAGCGTCTTCCTCCACTGCTCGAGGACGAGGTGAGTTTGATTGATCAGTCTCTCACGAAGACATTCTATATTACACATATTACACTGTAACATTACACGAATCTCTAAATGTCTAAATCTAATCAAGTCTTAAAGCACTAACCAAAAATTACACACACACACACACTCACACACACACACACACACACTCACTCACACACTCACTCTCTCTCTCTCTCACACACACACACACACACACACACACTCACTCACTCACTCACACACACACTCACTCACACACACACTCACACACACACACACACACACACTCACTCACACACACACATTACAGTCAGGTCCGTATACATTTGGGCACAGGCACAATTTTTATTATTTTAGCTGTTGACCAAAACATATTCAAGTTACAGTTATATAATGAATATGGGCTTAATTTACCCTCATTTGGGAGTCACACTCATGTTCTTCGCAGTCAAAAGTGACCGGACACCTGAAATTTTACTTTTTTTCTTCATCAGTAAAATCAGTCTAATATATTTGTGTTCAATAATTTTTCTTTTGTATTTTGAGAGAATTCCATGGTACTAATTAATATTTATGCAATAATTATGATCAATTTTTCCCATTGAAAATAGTACAAAAAAATGCTTTTTTTCTAATTTTTAAAATTATTTTTCAATTAATAAGGCAAGCAAAAAAAGAAAAACCTGTAATTTCATGGTGTAACCACTAGATTCCTGTATAGGACTCTAGAGAGGTTTATGTTTTTATACATAATTGTTTACTTTTATTAGGTTGTGGATTTAAATGTATATTAAGGCATTCTCAAAGACTACTTTTTGTCAAGGTTTGTATTTTGTGTTGTTTTAAATGTTGATTTGAAGTGTAGGTTTTTGCATTATTATTACTACATTCAAACCTGAACACAGAAAGCAGCTTGTAACAGAAAACATTACAATTATATAAAAATGTAACAAAAATTAACAGGAATGCTTTACCAGAGCTTAATCCTTCTGGGTCTGATCTGATTTTAACCTCTTATTTCAGTCTTCTGACTCATTTTGGCTATATGGTTATAGCCTTACCAATTCATTTGAGTATGTGTAATTCTGTGTGTGTGTGTGTGTGTGTGTGCGCGTGTGTGTGTGTGTGTGTGTGTGTAAGTAAGTGTGTGTGAGTGGATGTATCCGTTTTACACTGTTGATGTTTTAGAGTTTAACCCCTTCCTTGCTGTCCACTATTTTACTGCATTGTAGTCGAATTATTGATTTTATTTTACATAGTTGCAGTGTTACAGTCACACCAGTTTGTGTGTGTGTGTGTGTGTGTGTGTGTGTCCGTGTCCGTGTCCGTGCGTGTGTGAGTTGGTGTGTTGATTTTGTACTCTAGATGTTTTAGAGGTTCACTCCTTCATTGCTGTTAAATTTTTTTTCTGCATAGTGGGGGATTTGTAGATTGTACACATAAAACATTTCTGTATTTTAGATTTTTTTCCCCATTTCCCATTCATTTCCTATGGTCGGTCCATGAGAGACCAGTGTGACTATTACCATGAGTGCCATAAAAGTCACCAAGTGTTGTACCATTCTGGTGAAGCTACGATTTAAAAAAATTCAAAATGTAAAATTCTCCGGTCAGAAATGACCGAAGACCGTACAAGGGTTAACGTGGACACTGAGCTTTAATTTGAGGGTATTCTCATCACAATCAACAGTTTGGTACATTATTAGAAACAAAAGACGCACTGGTGAGCTCAGCAACGTAAAAATGTCCACGGAGGACAACAGTGGTGAATGATCGGAGAATCCTCTCCATGTAGGGCAGGGAGTAAAAATAAAAAATAAAACATTTCAGAACATTTGACCGATTCTTGATTTAAATAAAAGATTTTTAACTAGTCAACTTGAAAATGTAACTACAACATGATTCAAGTAACTTTTTCTTTATTAACCCTGTAGTTAAAGAAAATCTATTCCAAGTGCACCACACATGAAGTTGTCAACATGATGTAAATGTTAAAGAAATCACTCATTAAATATCTTTGCAGAAAAGATGCATGAACTACAACTACATCTTGTACAAACTTGTCTTATACATATTATATGTTCAGAAATAATACAAGGAAAATGCTTTAAAAATCTCAAAAGTCAAGGTAACTCAAATTCAAAATGACTTGTCACACCAGTAAACTATTATTAACTATAAATGTTCTATAAAAACAATAGCAGCTTTCAGTCAGTCACCATGATGTAAACATGAAATATCAGACATACAGTAGTAGTTACAGGTTTTTTATTAGATTGCGCTGTTTTTCCATTGTTTTTCTATGTAAACATGGACGTGTTTGACTGTTGCGCTCGCGTCTCTTGCAGCATCTCAAGCGGGATTTATAATTTGGCCTTGCTCTGCTCCGCAATGGATGAGGCTTTTATACTTGTCGCGTTCACCGTTGTCCTATTCTTTGAAACGACAGGGGGCGACGAGGAGTAATTGTCCTCTAAAACCATCAGGAATCACCGGTGAGAAGAATTCATTTGCCGGAAAAAGACTTCTCGAGTGATGAATGAGTTGATGAATTAATAATTTCTTTATGTACAAACTGATTAAATTAATCTTAAGCTTTCGGTTTTATTTCGCATCAAACACAAGACAACTTTAAGCAAATAGTGTATAAATAGTATCTAAATGAATTCTAGTTTTATTTTTATATAATAAAAATAAAACTTCAATTATAAAGCCTTGGACAAACTATACAAAAAAACTATGCATTGTTTTCCCCTTAAAGCGTCAAAAAGCACCAGATTGATTTTGAACTTCACATCAATTTGCTTCTGTTTCGGCATGTTCGGCTAGAGTCGCCTTGAAGTCATGCATCTTCGGAAGCGAAGCTGTGCGGAAAGTTACAAAAAATGCTACGCGAAATGAGGTTGCGCACACTCAAAGCGAACTTGCAGATGCGTCGACTATAAATCAGCCTTCATGCATGAAACAGCAGTCTAAAAACACGACGCTCAAGTTGAAAGAAGTTCACTCCCATCTTCTTGCATGATTTTTCTATTGCACCGCCCGTGTAGCATCTTTGTCAATGCAAAATTTAATTCTGTGTGAATGGCACCTAGCGATATTCTACTTATGGTCCTTCACTGAGCGCGTCACACATGAGCAGTTCATCACGTGCGCCAACATGCGGTTGCATCATTCTTTTCTCTTTATTGTTATCACTGGCATAGTAAAAGTGTCTAATTATAACGTTTGGTAATATTTCCATTCAAAATCACGATTCCTCGATTTCAAAAAAATCAAATCATGGCAAAACATTAAATTCGAATTAATCGATAAAATCTGAAAAATCGCCCAGCCCTATCTCCATGGTAAAGAAAAACCTTTTCACAACATCCAGCCAAGAGAAGAACACTCTCCAGGAGGCAGAGGTGTCACTGTCAAAGTCTACAATCAAGAGAAGACTAGACTTTGCCAAAAAACATCTAAAATAGCCAGAGCACTTCCGTAAAAGCATTCTTTGGACGGCTGAAATTAAGATCAAGCTGTACCAGAATGACGGGAAGAAAAAAGTATGGAGAAGGCTTGGAACAGCTCATGATCCAAAGCATACAACATCATCTGTGAAACATTGAGCAGTGTGATGCATGAGCGTGCATGACTTCCAGTGGCACTGGGTTACTGGTGTTTAGTGATGATGAGACAGAAGCAGCCGGATGAATTCTGAAGTGTATAGGGATATACACTCTGCGCAGATTCAGCCAAATGCAGTAAAGTTGATTGGACGGCGCGTCATAGTACAAATGAACGATGACCCAAAACATACAGCAAATGCAACCCAGGAGTTTTTGAAGGTAAAAAAGTGGAATATTCTGCAATGGCCGAGTCAGTCTCCTGATCTCAACCCGATTGAGCAGCGTTTCACTCGCTGAAGACAAAACTAAAGGCAGAAAGACCCACAAACAAACAACAACTGAAGTCAGCTGCAGTAAAGGCCTGGAAAAGCATCACAAAGGAGAGAACCCAGTAGTCATGTGAAAAAGTTAGGACACCCTATTGAATTCTATGGTTTTCTGTATCAGTACATAATAAAAAATTATCTGGTCCTTGGCAGGTCATAAAAATTGGAAAATAAAACCTCAGATGAACAACAACACATGACATATCACATCATGTCATTATTTATTTAACAAAAATAAAGCCAAAAAGGAAAACCCTGTGCGACAAAGTTAGGACACCCTATGATTTAATTGCTTGTAGATCCACATTTAGCAGTAATAACTTGAAGTAATAATTTTCTGTATGACTTTATCAGTATCTCACATCATTCTGGAGGAATTTTGGCCCACTCTTCTTTACAACATTGCTCCAGTTTATATTCAAGTTTATGCACAGCTCTCACCACAGCATTTCAGTCAGGATGAGGTCTGGACTTTGTCTGGGCTATTGAAACAACCTTGATTCTTTTCTTTTCAGCCCTTCTGTTGTAGATTTGCTGCTGTGCTTGGGGTCACTGTCCTGTTGCATGATCCAATACTGGCCCAACTTTAGCTGTCGGACGGATGGCCTCACAGATGACTCTAGAATACTTTGGTATACAGAGGAGTCCATGGTCGATTCGATGACTGTGCAACCGAATTGCATCACCTTAGCAACCACATGGGTATTCCATCCATCCATCCATCCAGCTATCCAGCCAGCCAGCCAGCCCCAAAGCATCAGCCAGCCCACAAAACAGCCCAGATGTTTGTGCTGATATGCTCTTTAGGTTTTCATCAAACGTGCTGCTGTGCATTATGGCCAAACATCTCCACTCTGGTCTCATCTGTTCATAGGACATTGTTCTAGAAATCTTACGGATTGTTCAGATGCAACTTTGCAAACCTAAACCATGCTGCCATGCTTTTTTCAGATAGAAGAGGCTTTCTTCTGGCAAGCCTTCCAAACGCCATACTTGTCCCATATTTTTCTAGTTGTACTGTCATGAGCTTTATCATTTAACATGTTAACTGAGGCCTGTCGAGTCTGTGGTGTAGCTCTTGGGTTGTCTGCCATTCTTCTGAGTGTTACATGGTCTGATGTTTGGGTGAATTTGCTGGGACGTCCACTCCTCGGAGGATTGGTGTGTGTTTTGAATGTCTTCCACTTGTGAATAATCTTCCTCACTGTAGAATGATGGACTTCAAATTGTTTGGAAATGGCCGTATTACTCTTCTCAGACTGATGGCAGCAACAATTGAAATTCAATATGGTGTCCTAACTTATTCACTTGATTGTGTGTATATATAGAGAGAGAGAGAGAGAGAGAGAGAGAGCGTATTACAAATATATATTTGCATACAAATATTTCCTTTTCTCTTTTTTGTCATAATTCTATGGTAATACCAACTGGGCTAGCTTATGGGTTGAAAACATGGCACATTTGTCTGGAGAATATATTTTGAGAAATGAGAAATAATAGTGAATATTTCAACTCCACCCGAGGAACAAACACGTAATAATTTACAGAGATCCCGTTAAAGATCACTTCTCATGACCCGCTTATAAACACACACAATCTCATGATGTAACTGTGTTTGTGATTCAGAGTTTGTGTCTGCGATCAGAGGACGAGATCAGACTCTCTGTTTCTCTGTGAGGATTGCTGTGAACTTCCTGAGGTGTGTGTGTGTGTGTGTGAGAGAGAGATTGTAGGGAGGTTGAGGAGAAACGCTCTGTTCTCACGGGAGATTGTCTATTTACGGGCTCGTGCCATTACAGCTGCATGAGATGGCAACTTTATGCCTTATAAACACGTTATTATTCAGCTCCAGTGAAGAGTTTCATTCTCTATTGGTGTATTAACATATGCTGTTTGTCTTTTTTTATTCATGTGCTAGTCTCTTGTGTTGCAGTAACTAAAAGTGACAACATAAAACACACAACAGCAAAAACAGTGCAGCCGTATCATTTATTTACACTGCAGTGCATGCTGGGATGCTGAGAGCCAGCATAGAAATAAGGGCATCACATAATTACAGCATTAACTTTAACTAGAGTATTAAACTCTAGAACCGCTACTGTAAAAATGAAGTACTTCAACTAATACCTGATATACTACAAATTATGATTTAATATACAGTGATGTACTCTAAAAACAGTGTGTCACGACAGGGTTTTTTAATTATTTATCATCATATGATCATGCGAGAGACCTGCGTCCTAAAATTATAAAGGCATCTATAATAGGTGCTTGTATAAAGACACAAATTACACTGTGAAAAATCTATGCTATAAATATCATTAAAATATTATTTGGAAAATATTATTATATGTTAAAGTACTCATTTATTTGTTTAAATCTTATTTTTTATTTATTTTTACTGTCATAGTTTTTATTAATATTTTGAATTGAGTTTTTATTTTTATATTGTCTGTTTTATTTAAAATGTTAGTAACTTAATTTTGTTTTGTCTATGTAATTTTACATTTTATTTAAGTTTTAGTTTGACTTATTTTAGTACATAAAGTTAAACTAAATTAAAATGAGAAATGTTGCCTTGCCAACTAACTTAAATAAATACAAAGTTTTTTATATTTTATTGTATTTCATTTAACTTTTATTTCAAGTAATGAAAAAGTGACGGTAAATACATTTATAATGTTACAAAAAATTTAATTTCAAATAAATGCTGTTCTTCTGAACTTCTATTCATCAGTGAATCCTGAAAAATAAAATGTATCACAGTTTCCACAAAAATATTGTGCAGCACAACTGTTTTCAACATTGATAATAATCAGAAATGTTTCTCGAGCAGCAGATCAGCATATTATACTGATTTCTGAAGATCATGTGACACTGAAGACTGCAGTACTGACGCTGAAAATACAGCTGCACATCACAGGATTACATTAGTTTAACAGATATTCACATAGAAAACAGCTGTTTTACATTAGAATAATATTTCATAATTTTACTGTATTTTTGATCAAATAAATGCAGCCTCGGTGAGCAGAAGTATTCAAAAATACTAAAGAATCTTAATTATTCCTATAACTTTTGACTGCTAGTATGTGGGTTTGTGTTCACTTGCATTTGACTTTTACTGTTATGCTGTTAAAATAATTTGTGCATTTTTTTTGCATTAAACTAGAAAAATGCAAACATGTTTTCACAGACGTTTGAACCCATGCATGTGTGTGTTTGCTCTTGCATGAGACTGATCTGTTAGTATGTGCTCTCCATCCTCAGGAGAACGTGTCTCTGGCTGATATTCTGTGTCTGCGGGACGGTGGGCTGTCGGAGCAGGAGTTGTGGGCGGTGTGTGTGGAGTGTGTTCGTTCTCTCCAGAGCATCGGCCTCTCACCGCTCTTTCACACCCTCTGCGTGACGCCCGACACGCTGGCCTTCAACGCTCACGGTAATGTGTGCTTCATGGAGCAGCTCAACGGTGAGTCACCAGCTGCATGAGTCAATCCATCACTCAGCGCTCGCGTTAGTCACCGTCTCCCTGGCTTCTTCATAAGTGGGATTTTCACATGTGTGACACGCTGTGCCATTGTGTAGATAATGGATGCATTCGTTTGCATAACGTTTAACAGATACGACACCCTCCCACCACTGTAAAACACATTGTTAAAGGAATAGTTCAGCCAATAATGAAAATGTGCTGGTTTACACATCCTCAGGCCATCCAAGATCTGTTTCTTCATCAGGTTTGTAAAAATGTAGCATTGCATCAGTGTCTCAGCAATGGATGCTCTGCAGTGAATGGGTGCCGTCAGAATGAGAGTCCAAACAGCTGATAAAAACATCACAATAATCCACAGCACTCCAGTCCATCAGTTAACATCTGGAGAAGACAAAAGCTGAAACTAATCCATCCTAAAATAGTCCATAATAATGCTTCCTCCGGTGAATAAAAAACAAATGTATTTCTCATTGTTAATGTTAGTTAATGCATGAACTACTGGGACCTTATTGTAAAGTGTTACCTGTCATTTTACTGTAAAATTATGTCAAATTTAGGGTTTTTGCAAGTAAAAACTACCAATTACCATATAAATTTACTATGAAAAACAGTAAAAGGACATTCCCAGAAATCCCTGCGTGACACGTCACATAGGATTATATTTTATATAAATAGTTTTGTTTCTGATTTTTGTTACCAGTAATGTTCATTTAGGTGTTTTGTGTTGCATTTTATGTTAGACGTTGTAAACAGGGCCTATAACTAACATTTTGCCACACCTGTCAAGAGTAAAAACTTTACCAGCCATAAATATTGTTTTACCATCCAAAAAACTGTATGTGCATTTCATAAAATTAAAAAAAAAAAAAACGACAGAACAAATTGTGAAACACATCTCATTGCATTTTTTATTTATTATTATTATTATTAATTTTGTTATTTACCTGTTATTATTATTATTATTATTATTTTATATAACAAGAGTAAAAATTTAAATACATATATTTATGGTTGTTTTTTCTTCTTCTTTGCTTTCAAAAACGTTAAGCCTAGAGCTTTTATTTTGGCGGAAAACTGCAGAGAAACCTCTCTTTTCAAATGCTTCTCTTTTGTTCAGATTTTCAGACACTTCTCATTACAATCTCGTCAATGAAAACACTGTAATCATGAGCTGCTCACGTGAAGACATCACACTAAACCATGTCATGTGCTCAGGCATTGTTAGACTTAATTACAAAAAAGTGACCGGCCAGCAGCGTTTCATACTGTATACTCGCCAACGCTGATTTTCACTCACGCTCGGTGAGTTTTAATTATTGGCCCTGGTTGTAAAACAAACCAGCACCAATATGCCATCCTGTAATACATGAAACATTGTGTTTTTCACAGTGTAACCCTTCTCTCTATGCCTGTAAAATCACAAATGTAAGTTCAAAACCATCACGAAAACAGGTCTAGATCTGCTTCAGGTCTCATAGAATGAGAACAACAGAAAAACAAGCAGTGGTTTGGTCCTCCAGCTCGTTTCTCAAAGGCCGCACCACATGCGATCTAAATATACCGGCCAGCATAACCCTGAGGAGTTTCTGGAGGATCTAACATACTCCGGAGGAGAAAGCCTGACCTATTTCAGCAGAAGCGTCTGGATGAGGATCAGTTAGACAGCGAGACACTGCGGCACCTCTTATTCACAGAGAGAAAGTGCTCTCTTATTGATGAAGGCAGTGCAATTAAACATCACCACCGGAGCGTTTGATCGTTCTGTGCTTTTGTGTCTGACTGCTCTTTAGCATGCGTTGCATTTGCATTCATTCACGTATTATCAGTTTGTGTTTTCTAGCTCATGATTTTTTATATTTGACTTTTGCATGGACAAGCATCACTCATGTTCGATTGTGTTTGTGAGAGTGTGAGAATCTAGCTGATTTGTCCTTTTTTCTCAGGTGATCCTGACGGCTGTTTCGTTCCTCCAGAGTTGGAGAAGACTGGAAGCACATTTGAGGTGAGACAACATGAGTCCAGGAACTGCTTAAACTTGTTATGAATATGCATTAACTTGTTATGAATATGCATTACAAATATACGGTCGTACTAATAACTTATCTTGAAAGACCAACACAGAGAGCTTATTTAAAAAATAAATAAAAAATACTAACAAAAACAAATATATATATCATGTTAATTGCATTAGACACCAAGGTTATTATAGTTAACAAAAACAAAAACTAAAACCATTAAAAAAAAAAAATTCTGTTACCTGAAATAAAATTAAATATTAAAAATATATATTTTATTTCATCTCATTTTCATTTAGTTTCTTGATGTACTAAAATAACTAAAGCTGAAATAAAAATTAATAAAAATGGTATATACATATTAAAAAGCTTGCATGTTTTTAAATGCATGTATTTTTAAGAATATTCCAGATCATAAAACATATGTAATAGGTCGTTCTGGAAGCATGTGTGAATGGTGCTGATACATACTCTGTGATGAGCCGTCAGATCTGGATTGGGCTTTTCTGTGACACACAGATATGATATTATATGATTCATGAGCCCTGAGGACTGTGATCTGTGAGCCAAAACGCTCAACTTCCAGATAATCACACACACTTGCACAAAGGTTTTCATGCCATGATATCATATGCAAACAGCCCACTGGCTTCTATATTATATGTGGCTATAATCATAACACTTTACAGTCCTAAACATCAAACATGTAACAGCCACAAGCCAGAATGACTGCAGGCGGCTTGCATTGCTGAGATAATAATGTTTCTTTCAGTGGGAATGAACAGCCTTTTATCTGAAACACTAGTTGATCATGTTTTCTCAAATCCTGATGATCGGATGCATGTTGTCATTAGGTATATGCAATCTTGAGATTCTCTTCTGATCTTGTTTTAATGGAAAGGCTGACTGAAAGAGGCGTCAGGTTTGATGGATGCAGCAGACGGCTGCATGCTGACCAATAAAACAACTGATAAAAGAGAAGAAAATATAGTCAGATTTTAATTTTAATTTTATACTTCATATACTTCAATTTGTTTCAGATGGAGGCCCTTTTTGCATGTTTATTACATAATTTTCTCTCTCCCTCCCTCCGTCCCTCTCCCTCTCTCCCTCTCCCTCCGTCCCTCTCGCTCTCCCTCTCTCTCTCTCTCAGGGTCACATGTTCTCGTTAGGCTCCACCCTGTGGGCGGTGCTGGATTATGTGTCGGAGGCAGAGCTGCAGGTGGAGTTGAGTGAAGAGAGCAGGTGTTTGCTGAAGCAGATGCAGCGAGAGAAACCTGAGGATCGACCGCGACTCCAGGTTCATCACAGACAGACTGAGAGCACCAGTGGAAATGCTTCTGCTTTTCTCATTGTTAATATAGCATAAAAATTTAATTGAAAAGCTGTATCGAGACAAAACACACACACACATATGTTTTGGGGAGTAAGTAGTTACATGTAGCGGAATTATGTAATTCAATTACAAAATAAATGTAACTAATCTGTTACAGTTACTGAGAAAAAATGTGTAATTAAATTAGTTATGAAAATGTTAACGATTACAAAGGGGTTACATCTGAATATTTTCACACACATACAGATTTGATTCTTTTTATTTCCTATTTGGGTTTATGTATATGTTTTTTTTTTTAAGATGAACTGTTTTCTTCCAAGGCATTGTTAGTGTCATGGTCCAGGTGTGTGGAGGCAGGCAGGATGACAAGGATATTTAATGTAGAGACAACAAGGCAGATTAGGGTAGATGAGACACACACACACTCGGGGTAACATTCACAATAACTGACAATACACGAGACAGGAACTTATAGGGCAGATAGGTGAGCACACTGAGGGTAATTAACTAATGATTGGACGGGCTAAACCAACAAAAGGGGAAGAAACCACAACAAACAGTCCACAGGGGTGTTACATTACTCCCCCCTCCCGGAAGGTGCGTCCTCGCACCGTAGAAACAGAGGGAGGGGGGTAGGGGGACTAGGAGGAGGACAACGCAGAGGATGTGAGATGGTGACAGGGGAAGGCAAAGGGCTGGCAGGCAGAGCAGACAGGTGGATGTTCAGGCGGAGGACAGACTTCCAGGAGGAGGACGGCTAACAGAGTCCAGGGAGGTGACGATGGAGGGAGGAGCCAGGTGGGACCCTGGCCACAGCCATAATAGCGGCCCACGGTGGAGCCGACAGAGGGAGGAGCAATGGAGGAGGAATGTCCACTGACTCCAGGGGGCCAACCAACGGCAGCGGAGCAGGTGGAGGAGGAGCCCGAGGCGGAGACGGAGATCCAACGAGCCAGGGGGATGCCGAGGATCCGGGGGGCCAGGGTGGAGCCGAGGGCTCTGGCGACCGAGGCGGAGGCAGAGATCCACGGCAGAGCAACTGAGGACCAAGGTTGAGCTGACGGGAGGAAGGAGCCCAACGGAGCCAGTAGGACAGAGCGACGAGGCGTAGCCAGAGGAGAGGAGTCCAGAGGCGATGGCGGGTCGACGCCCGACCGAGGCGGAGCCGGAGGGATGAGGGAGCACGGTGGAGCTGATGGATCGATGGGTGGAGGCGAGGGAGCTAGGAGCCGAGGTGGAGCCACTGTGTCTACGGGCCGAGGCAGAGTCCGGGCCTCGGAGGCAGGAGGCAGAGCTGAGGGAGACTCCGACCATGGTGACGCTGGAGGAGGCCGGAGCAGGTGGGAGGGCGGGCATTTTTGAGGAGCGGGCACTGGAGAGAGCTCTTGGGCTGGAGCCCTTCCTGGGCGGAACTGGGGATCAGGAGCCCTTCCTGGGCGGGACTGGGCATCATCTCAGGAGCCCTTCCTGGGCTAAACGAAATCTCAGGAGCTCTTCCTGGGCTAAACGAAACACCAGGAACCATTCCTGGGCTGAACTGGGGATCAGGAGCCCTTCCTGGGCTAAACGAAACATCAGGAGCCCTTCCTGGGCTGGACTGGGGATCAGGAGCCCTTCCTGGGCTGGACTGGGGATCAGGCGCCCTTCATTTTGGCCCTGAATTCCCCTCATAGTCCGCTCACCCTCAGCCATGATGCAGGGGGGGGGCTCCTTTCTGCGCTCACACCGTCCACGGCTTGCTCCCTCGTGGTGGGCACTGTCACCGGCTCTCGCACCTGGTTTGACACGTTGGGCTCAACATCCGAGGCAATCCACTTCTCAGCCGGGGGGCTTTGCTCCGGCTCGTGGATTGCGGCGGGAAATGGCTCTCTGTCATCGGTGGGCTCAGGTTTATGCTCCGTACTGCAGGGAGATGGTGGGCTGGGCTCAGGGTCCTGAGTGGGGCTGGTGTTGTTGTCCGCGATGTCCACGGTCAGCTGGGACTTGCAGGACACCAGCACCCACTCGACGAAGGTGGTGAAGCTCTCTCGAGGACCATCCCCAGACAACTGCGCTCGTGTGGTGGCGTTTAGTCCGACTTGATAGAAGCCACAAAGGGGGATCAGGAGCACTTCCTGGGCTTGACTGGGTATCACGCAGTCTCTCCTCCTCATTTTGGCCCTGAATTACCCTCATAGTCCGCTCACCCTCAGCCATGATGCAGGGGGGGGGCTCCTTTCTGCGCTCACACCGTCCACGGCTTGCTCCCTCGTGGTGGGCACTGTCACCGGCTCTCGCACCTGGTTTGACACGTTGGGCTCAACATCCGAGGCAATCCACTTCTCAGCCGGGGGGCTTTGCTCCGGCTCGTGGATTGCGGCGGGAAATGGCTCTCCGTCATCGGTGGGCTCAGGTTTATGCTCCGTACCGCGGGGAGATGGTGGGCTGGGCTCAGGGTCCTGAGTGGGGGCTGGTGTTGTTGTCAGCGATGTCCACGGTTAGATGGGACTTGCAGGACACCAGCACCCACTCGATGAAGGCGGCGAGGCTCTCTCGAGG